ATAATCATCAGTGTTTAGAAGATAGTCTTAGAGGGCGATTTTCTAAAAAATGTTTTATTTGATTTGACCCTGCCGAAATAATCTTAACAATAAACCCACAAATTTTTTGTTTGTGAACAAGAACACAGCAAAATTTGTATTACCCCGTAACGATTAAGCAAGCAACATATTTTTCTCGAGTTATATGAAGAATTCGAAAAAATTATAAAGGAAAAGAGTTTTCAACAAGATGGACTAAAACAATGCTGAAATGTGATATGGCGAAAAAAAGTTCTGCAAAAAGGAATCAGAGGATGTGAATTCCGTCCGTATAAATGATTGAGCTGAACAAAACAAAAACAATTTTTTCGAAAATTTTCCACAAACATACGTTTAAATTAGGGCAAGTAATTATAAAACTTCCTGTATAACTGGCACGGCTAATACAACTAATTAAAAACAAGTGAGGAAAGTAAAAGACCAGTCAGTTATTAAGTTAAGATCATGTCAGCCGACGTAAACAGACACAAAACATTTTAGGTTAAAGGAGAAAAGTAGATATTAATTATTAGTTGAAAAATAATTATTATAAAATAAGATAAAATGTTAAAAGCCAGGATCAATTGTAAAACAACATGTCATTGCTTCTTAATTTCACGAGTTGCAATATTGTCAAGGCCACATGAATTTAATTGGCGTGGAAAATGGAAAGTAAATTTAGTGAAGGTCATAAATATACCTAAATCGAGTCATCAACAGAACAACAGATAAAAAGATAAAGCAGATATAAAACTGGAAGACAACTCAAAGTAGCAACCCTATGTTTTAAAAAGTGGACTAACATTTATTTCAAGAAAGTTACTGATTTACTTAATACATTGAAAGTGAAAAGTTAAGAACAGAAAATTTGAACATCGGTTGATATAATGCTTCTTCAAGTTCTTTCTTTACCTGTTTAAGCAGGTAAGGTACTTAAAGAAGATGAATACCAAGCGAAAGTTAATTTGCTGCAGTTGAAACTAATAAAATCTAACTGGGAATAAGCCAAATATGGAAGCATTAATGCCAAGAGCTAACTTGCATACGACCTCCCGCTCCTAAGAAGTAAAACATTTTGATGTTTCGTAACCAACCCTCAGGACGAAGTGTAAGCCCGCATTGCCACAAATGAACGTTAGTGATTACTACACGGTAGCATTTAGTTAGGGCAAAATAAATTTAACAGATGTCCCATTCTAGGAACGTCTTTCCCGAATATTTAGATACAGGGAAACCTTACCATCACTCTCTGCCATCGCAAGCAACTGAGTGCAATTACTGTGAGAACAGATGCGAAACAATATAAATTACTTGTTTCAAATATTGCACATAAAGAAACTTCATGGCACCTGTGACTGTAATTTCCACCTCGCCTAAATTATTGTCGATGTTCACCCAAAAATCTCCTCAATTTCCCCTAGCTTCCCGAGCCGGTTATCTACCGATGGGAAGATCGATATCAGACTAGTATATAAATTACAACAAAGAAAGACTGCTTGATGTGGCAACAGCGCGGGCATTGCATATGGCCTGAAGAGAGAGCAAAGAGTCGAGACGGTTGGCGAATAGAAAACGTGAGAACAACGCCTGTATTGTACAGGACTGGCTGACTATACGACTGACTTGTACAGTAAAACATACGTTTCCAGCAATATGAAATTTGTACGTTACTCATTATAAGGCATTAAAGTTAAATCATGCCGCTTCGCTTGATGACATGAGCTAGTGCTCTCATAAAAGGTTCATCAGCAAATAGAGGTAGGTATACAAGTAGGTCAAAATAGTTGTTGTAGATTCCACATCGACAAGCTTCGAATAGAGTTTCAAATATTTAGCAGCTACCAACTGCATTTTTGCGGATTATATAAGTTATGTGGCATTGAGCTTCTTCGCATAGCAGGAAATAAAGACAGTTGCCTAATTTTAATTAGGTAGAAATACAAATTGCATAGATCATAACAACTATTGCTTATCAAGTTCCGTCCGAATTTTCAGCTCCGCCACGCTGATACGCACGTTGAATGCAAAAAAATGCAAGTACAGTAAGACAAAAATCAGGACAAAGATGCTGGGGAGCAAACTGTAACAAGATCAACTACTTTTAGGTAGAAAGGACAGAAAAGTGAAACGAATTTTAAAGCACTATTAACGGAAGAATAGTAGGCACCAGGATACGGAGACATATACATATGATAAACTTAATAAAAATCGGATCAAAACTATGCCAAATGGATACGAAAATATAATCCCAATTAATCTTTTGTTTCCTCCGGACAAATCCGACAGACCCCTTGATATTTTGAATTTCCTGCGTCGACCGATTGAGCTAGAACAGGGGTATAAAATACCTCCTCTCTGTACCCTGGAGACAGTTTTGATAACGATAACTGGGCATCTTTTGTCAAACATCTTGACAATTTGCCAGGTGGGTTCTAACAACTCCTAGAAATGTCCTATGCTATTGGTGGGAAACAGACGAAATGCTGGAACTTAACACAGTTTTGAAATACCCTAAAGTAAATCTCTACTCTCCAGTAAAATCTAGTTTTGATGCAATACCCGAACTCATTGCTATTGACGGTTGAAATGTTAAAAATGACTACCACTTGTTTTTAATAATATTTTGGAATTGGGCCCTCGGTCGTTCATCTACCTAAGATTATAATTTTTCCAATACATCATTTATTTTTTCATGTCCGGCCAAACAGGCAGCATACCGTGCGAAGTAAAGTCGTTATATCAAGTGCTCTTAGCAACGTTATTGAGAAGAAATTCGAACAAGGTATGACCCCAAAGGACCTCTGAGGCTGTCATAGGCTGATCTTACTGCAGCAGAGAGAAGAAACGATACCTCAAAGCAACGAGCTCAATCAATATAATCGCAAACAGACACTTCATTGTGAGAAAAAACGACCAGAGTAGCACAAAATAAATCGTGAACAGTTATTTACTCTAAAGTATCGATCTTGCGGTCCTCCTTGTTAACTTCTATGTTGCGGATCTAATTGATAATGCATCCACGAAATTTGGTTATGCACCGACTCGCAATCGCTGTACATCAAAAGAACATTACCGTAAGAAAATACACTTTATTCCACAAAATCACCACTCTTGGAATGTGTTTCCACTCACACACCCTTATCTGATTATAAGTATGATAGACCCCCTATATTAATTATCAGGTTAAATAAACTGGACATTGTTGTTGTTCTAGAATAAGAAGATAATTATTTAGAACTTGAAGAAATTAATATTTATTTCATCATAGAAACAAGAAGTAGAGTTTTGTTAAAAATTCAACTTTCTTGTGCGTAGGTATAGAGCGATATCCGTTCTTCTTATGGCAGAACAATTCAAATGGAAACAAAAAATATGCAGTTTTGCAGCTACGGGATGCAGAAATTGAATTTTTGTTCTAAAAAGTTTATTTGTGAAAGTTTTTTGAAATGACACATTGATAGTTTTTTTTATCTAGAGAGACTCATTACTGCCATCGTTTTCATAGTAGTTTCAAGTGTTTCTATTGGTTGGAGATCTGTCAGTTCGTACGACGGCGGACGAATTGACAGATCTGCAACCAATAGAAAACCTTCGTATTATCGTACCATCGTATAAACGGATGCATGGGACACAGGCTTTAACCCCATTATTCTAAACAGAAATTGTTGGTAAAATGGCACCTTTTCTCGAAATGGCCCAGCTGATTCTGAAGGATTATTTTATTCAAAAAAATGATTAAATTTCAAAGAAATGGCCCTATCGGGAGCAAGCTTTTACCAACTTAAATGCTGTGGTTTTGTTACGATTTTGCGAGGCCGCGATACTTCTACAAACTCGCCAATAAACGTAGAAAACCGTTTTATTTCTGCTGTGTTAAAGCTGTGTAGTCGCCCAAGTGTTACGCGAGAAGCATTACATAGGTACTCTAATATCAGAAGCATATAATGTTGAAGGAACAAACCGTCGTGAAGAACCAGTAGCGTAGCCCTCGTTAATTTCCTTTTCATAGGGATATTTGATAGATAAATTGATGACCTGATAGAAAGAAAAGCTGTACATTTTTTAAAACTTATTTTTGAGTTATTCGGTTAAAATTCGATTTTTAATAAACCTTGGCGTGATGAAAAGCTTGTAGTATGTGGTCATCTTTAGATTCATATTTCAATGTGTCCACAATTAGGTACGTTTTGTCGTCCTATCACTCCAGGTGTGACGATCAGGTAGGCATTTCGGTATGGGGTCTACCTTTTCAGTGCAATAGGGAATTATTCTAACTTAGCAACTTTTTCTAACCTACTTTCACATCAATAAATACTAGGGTACATCTTTGATTTCTTTGAGACGATAATTCAGCTGAATACTTGCTTTCATAAGTTCGTAACCACCTCCTTGCTAAAAGCTGCAGAACATCATGAATATTATTGTATTTTTTGTTTCTGCATTTGCTTCCGTGATTTCAAGGGGTGTTTAAAGTTTAACACCACGACAAAAGCCAAACCGAGTGTTTGAATACGCATAAAAAGCTAAACCGGGGACCACTTAGTAAAGCAAAGCTCTAAAGGGGCCCTCGAATGCTAGTCAGCCATTTTAAAACGCATAAAAACCAGGAAAGCCATATAAACCGAGGGCACTCATCACGTTTACACCTAATTAACCTAAGTGTAGCGGTACTAATTAATTAAAAAGATGCGCAAAAAAGACACAGTTACTTTGTAGACGAATATGAGCGGCGGCAGATTGGTAGAAAAGCACGTGTCTGACCCTCAAATAAGTTTATGTTTCAGATTTTAATATCAAATAGTGTCTTGATGGTTGATTTTGCCAAATCAAGCAAATTGTATTAAAAATGTGTAAACGTGAGAAGATTGGGATACCAAAAGCTCTACCAACCGTATGTTTAAAATACAATTGTGATGAATTGGATACAATTGTGGTGTCTGCATGTTTATTAATGATTTACTAAATAGAAAAATGGTACTCACTTTAAGTTGGGCTTCGCCTTGTTTATGATAAGTTCGCATACTGGACAGTAGCTCTTATCTTGAAGAAACTTGATAATACAACTACGGCAAACTGTAATAAAAGTAATACGACATTAGCAAGATCCAAAGCTAAGGAAAACATTTATTTATAAAATAAAAACAGAAAAATAGAACAAGTGAATGTTTGACTTTCAGTTTACAAAACCGCTTCAAGGTACTTAGTTTAAGTTTTGATGAAAGTGATATCAACATGCTGAAATCCTGATTATGTCTATCTGATAAAATATAAAATGTATTATATTGGAGTGTCTCTTTTACTAAAAATAAGTTTGAAAAACTTTACGATTAACTAATTAATTCAGTAACTAAATGATGCAATTACAATTCAAACTATTGTATTTGCTAATAAATAAAGACGTTTTTACAATAAAAAAATGTTCCACTATGTGTCCGGGTGTAGCTAATGCAAACCCGAAAAAAATACGTCTTTTGCGTAAGTCGTAAGTCTTTTGCCTCTAAGCTGTCAAACGTTTTATTTTCGAATAGTCTTATTTGATTTCATCGCTATACAGAATAAAACCCTATTGAAAATGCGTTCAAATCAATTAGTTTATTCGTCACTTAATGCACTGATTCATTTTGGGCCATGGTTTGTTGAAGTTACCGAGCTCAGCAGAAAAGCTTGCTTCTTTTCGTTCCGATTCTAAAAAATGCAATACAAACGAAATAGTTTCCAAAGCTCAACCGACCTGAAACTTTGAGCATGTCGGACATTTCATATTGCCGTTAATGTCTGAAATTGTTAAATAGCAAGGAAACAGAAATATTTTTTTACGCAAAAACTATTAATGCTACAAGATTTTATAAAGAATACAAAAATGTTGAAAAGGATGTGTGCATCAACTTAAAAAAAGCCAGTTAATTCAAGGTACCAAATAAAAATTTCTGGTAGTTTTTGTACCAAGACACTCAAGAATACCTAACTCACACAAAACTAACCCAAAGCCGATGAACTCGGCTGCTTCATCAAAATATGAGTTTTACATAAGGACAAATTCACAGCCAATTTCATTAAAATCCATTATTTCCTCGATATTTAAAAAACATAAATTTTTCGAAGAAATTTGACTATCGAGAGCGGAGGAGCCGGACCTTTTTCTTTAATAAAAGTTAGATCAGATCGTCCTCCGTTGTACCAAAGAATGCACCATTGAAAAGTTTACGTTTTTGTTTGAACCGCCGGGTATAAAATTAATTATTAAATTTATCAGTGTCAAACCGATGTACCTATCAGTTACGAGAACATTCCATTTAGCTATGGCATTTTGTGATGCCCTGTATGATAGTTAGTTAATATTGACGAACCATTAACTTCCCCTTTATATACGATTATATTTAATGTGGAATGGTGTGAATATATTCGAAATCATGGGCAATTGCAAATATACCTCACTTTTAAAGCTTTCATTTAATGCCAGCTTCTATTCACAAAGCGAATTATGAAGATTTTATAAGTTAGATATTACAAAACCTGCATTATAGGTATATTTGTTGTTTTACGTGAGAATAAAGAAACGCAGAAAGAAGCAATGCAGTAGAAGTTCAAGCATGGCACAAAACTTACAAAATATTTCTTGATAAAATTAAATGAACAATTCAGGATGTTGATAGTTTTTGAATAGTCAACACTTAAATCATATGCTGTTTCAATTATTATTGACTGGTAACCACCGAGTGTTAAATCTCATGTAAATTGAATTCCAGTTAAACACTCCAATTGTGATCGTGTGTGATCTTAATAAGAGAATATAAGAACAGTGAATAAATAGTTCTGTAAAATAAGTGTATTTTATGGTATTCCAATATTAACAAAACGAAAGAGTTGAATTTTAACTCCCTTTTAACTATTAGTTTAGAGATAATTTTAGCGTTATGAAGATACGCGTACCAAAAAAATTAAAAGAACAGAACACAAGTCTGACAACTAAAGCATGATTAAGAATGTTGTTCGCTTGTAAAATCTAAATAACTACTTTGCAGAATACATTGCAGAATATTATCCAAAATGATCCAATTTTATGATCAAAGAAGACCCGTCAAGAGAAAAATTTATCAAATTTCTAACAAACTAAATTTAAAATAAACCGCAATGCGATAAATATTAGTGAAATCTTTTCCGGAGTTATTGAACTATTCAGTAGGAAAAATGGTAATTTCTACAAAATAAAAACGTTATATATTCGGTTAGGGTTATCCAAATCAATTTATTTTCATCCCGTTATAAGCTTCCTATTCCTTTCTTTTCATACATACTTACTTTAGAGAAGTAATATTTTCGTTTTTCATTGACAGCACTTATAATCATAAAGCTCTACAATCTGGACCATGTTAAATATATTTCAGTTAGATCGTTAGAAAAAAAAATACTTATAAGCAAAGAATAAATGTAAAACCAAGCTCAGAAATGTATGTAAAACCAGAATTTTTTCGACAGTCCCTAAAGCATGATAATTATTACGACGGATCAAAAGTACCATAACCAAATTCTAATCCAAAATACATTATCCTATTTAAAGTCTTGAGTCAAAGAATTAATTTGCGTTCTATTAAGTGTTTCAATAAAGGCTCGTAATAACAATAACCACTTAAAAATAATTCAAAATTTCCAGTTCAGCAGCAATTCATAGCTTACCTGCATTTTATTTAAATGAAAATAACATAAATGGGAAATTGAATATACTTAGATAAATGTAAGTAAATTACTTCAAGAAAGTTAGATTTCATCTAAAATTAGTTTTCATACAAGCATTTAATTAGATTGAAAAATTAATTTACAGCATGTCTTGGTCCCTTCTGGTCCTTCTTAAAAAGTACTATTCTCGATCCGTGATAACGTTATACGTATTGCAAATCATCATCTCTACTATTAATCAGACCGGAACTTTTTTGGCAGTCGGTTTACGCAAACGATAAAAAAGCCAATTTTGGAAAATGAAGAGAATAGTTTACGATTTCAAAACCGAAAATAATTTTCTATAACTTTAGCCTCGCCTCCTGCAAGGTTTGCGAATTCACAACTAAAACTGCTATTTTTAAACTCATCGGAGTGAACAAATTTCGGAAAGCTTTCAAGCCCATTGCCTACAACGCTACTTAATCCTATTTCTGTGATACTTTCAACGTGAATCAGTATTTTAACAGTTGAATATTTAATGGAATTCTTTGCTTCCAAAAGGTGAACAGCGGCCCTGAGGCTTCCATTAAAGATTCAATAACAGCAAAACCTTTAAATAAGTCACGAGAGCGTAGTAATTTTAGCGGAATGGAATATTAATTTTCGAAGCAATGAAGCAAATAAAATACATGTATAAAAATGACACGTAAATGTTTTTAAAATAAACTCTTAGGAAACATCCAAACGAAAAAAAAATGGGTTAATTACTTACAGGAATGCAAACATTCCGATATCGTTGTTGCGTCTATGAAGTATCCTTTGCATAGATAACACGTCAGGTACTCGTTTATCTCGTTGAGCCATATCTTCTCCGGCTTCGATGCCGGAAGCTCCATGATCAATAAAAAGCCCGCTGAAAAAAAAGTAGCATTTACTATTGTGTAAACAATTTCACATACGTTCATGTGTAATCAACAGTAGATTTGAATCCACATTAAATTGCGTGCAATCGGCTACGTTAAACAACGGTTTTACTCACCAAATCGTCTTATTGTTAATACCTAATGGTTCTTATCAAGTCAAATGTTCACAAGGAGGTAAAATCACTGAAACGCATTTGATTAAATATCGGGATTTATACAGCACTGTCATCAAGTGTTTTTGATTGTTTACAAAGACAATTGGGCAATGACAGTCACATCCAGACAACGAACAGCTTCCTAAAAATCTAGTGACCAGTGATCGGCTTCAACATTTTGACTTCAAGTAAGCTACGTTTACACCCATAAAGAAAACTAGCACAAGATACTTGAGAACAAATAATTGTTGGACAAAATGTTTCGTTTAGGAGTAATTAAGTAATTGAAAGCTGATGATCAACCAATAAAAAAATTAATAATTACACATTATACCAAATGGTTCAATAAAATTGCTTCCAAATTCAAGAAAATGTTTACTATAAAGTTTACTAAAAAAAGTTACTAAAGAGTTTCCGAAAATAGCTTATTTAACTGCAAAATACCACAGCAAAGATTAAATACTGAGTTTTTCTTAATTTCGTGTTGACTCTAGACTATGTTTTTACATTATTGTTAAACAAGATTATGTTAGTTCTTTTCTGACATGTTTGACTCTACTTTTGTACCGCATTTTCTTTTGCTTTGAATTAATGACAAATCACTTTTACTGAAATTAACTGAAAAAAAATCTGATTCCCGCTTAGAGCCCTGAAGAAAATATAGCTTGGCCCAGGTAAAATCGTGTTTTTTGTGACTGTTTAACAGAAAAAATCACACGTGCCACAGAACATCTTTACTTAGGTATAACGTAAACGTGCATATCGTCAAACGGGAATCTAATGATCATTTCTGAAAATGCTGATTTTCTATGATTCTGTAAAACATAAACTATATCTAACAAAGTTAATCTAATTATCAGGTCAAAAACAAGTAAATAGAACCTTATACAGGATGTTCGGAAAATGCGTTAAACATTTTGAAGGGTGATTCTAAAGTAATGGTAGAAAGTCGATGTAAAACATAAAATTATTTCAAGTAAACTGCCACCTAGTGGTAAAGTGGAGAACAAAAGATAAAACTGTATCAATTGTCAATGTGATCCGCGATAAAATGTTCAGAATAAGTGAAAAATCAAAATAGTAAATCTGGCAACGATGTATTTGATTCGAACCTGTAAATGGCGTTTTTCTCATTAACATTTTATGAATACATGTTGCTGTGATCGTAATTCAACAAAATGCATAATTTTTCATGAAAGAAGAATGACAAGCCGACCTCCGAAACAACAAAAATTCAGCTACAATTTTACAATAGACCTGCAAAATTGTAGCACTGGAAGTTCTTAAAAGTCGAAGAGACCGCCAGACTTTTGCCTTGTTGCCAGCTTAGCCGCGCTTCTAATTATTTTAATCCAAATTTGGATAATTTACAAAGCACTTTGATTACAAAATGTAAAAATTCTGTTTGTTTTTATCATACTGAAAAGTCAGCCTTTTTTAAAGTCCGTCGTGCAACAAGGCATAATGTCGAATCGTAGTCTGTTCCACTATCTTTTAAAATATTTTTTTTCTATCCTTCGCGTACTGAAACCTCTGATTTGCATTTCTATTTACAGATGTGCCTTGTGAACCAAAATCACTTACATTTCTATTGCTTCTTATTGTCCGTGGTACCGAAAGCAACTAACTGCAGTAAATCAAAGTGGTAATATTTGGTAAATTTGACTGATTTATACCGTAACTTAAGCGGCAAATTGGCTAAGTAGCTGCAGAAAACAAATGTACCCAAAACTTACGTTTTGCTGAAGAATGCAACATAGGGACACAATTTTGTTCAATGTTATACATGTAGAATATAAATAATATAAGAATTGAAGAGAAAACCAAAAATATTTTCAGACTCTCATTACAGTTATTTTTTTAAATTTTAGCAAGTCAAATGAGCGTACAGCCAACTTGAAAATCCGGATGTAATTGTCAAAACGCGTTTGTGGGTCGTATTTAAAGAAATGGAACGCTCCTTTCGTGCTAACACTGCAATAGCTTGTGTCACTAACTAGGAAAAAAAGTTGTCTATTCAAATCTGAATCATTTATGCTTATGAAAATAACCAACCGCTATGTCATCATAAATATTTCCACATTGTTCGAGAACAATTACCGCAGAGGGGTTACAAGAATAAATATTTGTTTTGTCTGCATTTTCCGCCTGTATTTATGAAATAACCGAGGTTTCAGTTAATAGACATAAAAAAGGTACTAACATTTAGTTTGCGTCCAATAACAAAACTTTTTTTGTACAATTTGACTTTTGTTATTTTGATGTTAATACAATTGAATGGAATTATTTTCAGAATTTAAAAAACTGCAGCTTTTCAGCAACAGGAATAGTACAAAGCCTAACGATTAATACCACATGATAACACATACTTTAGCCAGTTCATGCGCTAGCATGTGGATTTTAATTGGGGTACTTGGCAGTGTTGGGAACTGTAGCTGACATACTTTCATTTGCAGCAACTGTTCCAAAGTTTACTTTTCCTTCGATTCATAAACTAATTTGTATAATTAGCTCAGAATAAGGCACAGTTACCTGTGTCAAAAATAATAATTATAGAATATCTCCCGAATAAGAAGTTGATAATTTATATTCATTATAAGCTACAGCCACTACTCTAGGATCTATTTTTCCTATTTTCATCTCTCACTCTACACTTGATAGAACTGATTGAATGAAAGCAAATACGTGTTGGGCCCGATATTCCTGCCACTGACGAGTGACTCATCTAATTCCAACTTAAACAGAAGCCTGAAGCTGCCCAATTTATTGTGCAGGCTAGGCTGCAGGACTGATATTAGAACGATGCCCGCGCTATGCTTCAACGAGTTCATTAAATTTGAGGTTGGGCACTGTGAATGTTTTGAACGTCCAATTTTAATCAGGCTTTTTACGGAAAACTGAGACTTATCAAATGAAAGAGTTGAAACATTAATGAGCTTCTAAATAAGAATATTCTATCAGCAATATGAAGGCTTACAAAATGCCAAATTGAGAGATGTATGATTGACGAATGGAATAATAAATAGTCAGATGCAGATTCATGGTTCTTTTTAATCAACACACAAGAAGAAATTGCAAACAAGTATCTTTATCTAACAAACAAAATTTTGAAGTATGAGAAGTCTAGCCATGTTCTCGCGTTAGACGCTTTCCTGGTGTTGGTTCGTACGTATACAGGGTGATCTATCGAGAAATGCACCAAACATTTCGCTATACGCCTGTAGTTAATTTGACTTGAAACACTGTGTCCCAAATGAGGAGTAATTAAAGTAAATGTTACAAAGATCGTTGAACTGCGAACAACGAGGGGCAATTAAATGGTAATGCAAAACATACTATCAAAAATACATATATGGACCAAACCGATTGTTTAATTTCAATAGCATTGTTGTCGGGCTTTAATTTTATTTCTCACTGACTTTTACATCAGCCACATTGAAGCATAAAACTTTTTTAAATACTGTCCTTTTTGCTTATTAATAATTGTATGTGTTTTTTCTTCATCTAAATTAAATCACCTAAATTAATCATATCCCGCAGGCTGTAAAAAGGCCCCTGAATTTTGTACGCTAATTCATACAATCGCAAATATTTGTTTACATTAACTGAAAACATTGAAATTAACAGCACTGTTAAATATTAACTATTGACCCTAGTGATATACTAACTTACCTAATCGAGAATTTCACCATAATTTAAATTGGCAAAGAACTTTCCAACGAAACAAAACAATCAACAGAAAACAGAAGGACAGTAGATCTTTTCAAAACATAAATAAAGCACAATGTGTTATATCTACATATTAGAATTGAAGATAAAAATATCTCCTAGATTTTTCGAATAAACAAACAGGGCCGTATTTAAAATATCAAATTTGATGATGATTTCGTGGAATCGAATAATCTACGCGCACTGCTTTACAAAAGTTGCTTTCAGAAAACATTGCAGATTTGTTTCCAGCTTCGATGTTCACGGCTAAAAAAATTATAATATTAGAATTCGCACATTATTTTTCCAAATACACCAAAAACTAAAAGTTGCAAGTTTTGTAAAGATCGACAGCGCATTTCTATTGCTCTATTGCTTGATCATACAGGCCCTTGAATTCTAAATTTAAAATTTTGGCTGAAAAACTTGTTTTACAAAGATTCTCTCATTCAAAGTAAATAATTCTTTGATGTAAAATAAGTACTTTGTCAGTTAGTTATGCGTAAAAATTCGTAGCAGCCCTATTATTACCTTTTTCATAAATTAATAAAAAAACGTTTTTAGAAAGTTGATTATTCACTTTTTATGTAGTGAAAAAAAGTTATTTGTTTCTCTATAAACGTGCTTAATAAAAAATTCAAAGCTGCTTTATTTTCTGTCAGAACGAATAACTTTTTGTATTGAATCTGCTTGATTATTCTAACCTGCATATATCACAAATTCAGTTTTTCTAACCTGCATATATCACAATTTCAGTATTTACGTCCTTTAGTGACCATTGCAGTAAAACTGCTTATTTTAATCCTAAAATAACTGATTTGTTCAGAAAATGCGAATGTTAAAAAGTTGCTTCATTAAGAGAATATTATCATCGTAATACTTAAGGATGTATTCACTTTACAGAAAAAATTTTGTTATTTTACGGGTTTTAAACAACACTGTTGAGAAAACCAAGAAAGTTCAACCACTAGTTAGTTACTTAGTCATCCATCAAAAATGTTTTCAAATGTCAGTTAAGATCTAAATATACACAGTGTTCCATTTTGATGGATGACTAATCAATCTTTTCGTAAATTTCCCCCATTATTTATTTTAACTGTAACAAAAATATGTTATGATTTATTAAT